CCGTCAATCGGCAATCCTCGGCTGATTCCGCAAGCTCCATACTAACAACAAAGTTATTGTCGAGTGCGGAGACATCCGAGTAGTTCCGAGTGCATAACCGTACACAAAGAAAGCATGGCGTCTCCTACGAGTAACTACGTAAAATAATGTGTTAAGTTATCTCTTGATTCTTTGCAAAATATGAGTAGGGACTATATCGGAATTGAAACCAGAGCAGTTGGAGGCCCTGCATCATTATCTACTGAGGGATGATGTATTTTGCGTGCTGCCCACAGGTTACGGCAAGTCCCTGATATTCAGCCTTATCTTTGATTGGTCCGGATTTGAACAAAGCGCGCTTTGACTCGTTCGCGTTCATTGGCTAGATCGTTCAATGAGTCATTGACTGCGGGCTTTAAATTTGATTGGCGGGCGGCGGGGGCTATCGAATGTGGTCAGAGGTAACTTGACACGATGAAGATAGGCTATAGTGAAGAGGTTAGTGGCAAGTTATCTCTGAAGCTCAGGGTGCGTTAGGTACACTGCGGGATTTCTTGTAAGACATATGACAGTGCTGCTGCATGAATTCATTCCATATAAGTTAAATGCCCCACAGTGAGAGTTGCAATGAATGACACTTCTGACTGTAAAAATTGGAACGCGTAAATGGGTTCATACTCTGTGATTTTGTCAGGGAATTTGGATAGGGTGCACCTTAAAATGAGGGGAAATGTCTGCACTTATACATATACGAAGCTGAATTGGGAGCAATTACCTTTACACAACATTAGGATCCGAGATAAAACCAACCGAGAGAAAGAGAGAGGCAATGAAGATATATCAAAGTTATGCCTTATACCGTGTCAGGCCAAGTCAATGGCTTCATTTAAGTTTTTTTTAGTGGTGTTAGGTAAAATGAAATTGTCAACCTACGGCAATGAAAACTTTTATTTGCTATTACGTGACCAAAATCAAATTGTTTCGCGCTGCAAGATATTATACGTATTTATACGCGTGTGTGTGTGTGTTGGTGTATGTGTATGTGCGCGCGCTGGCGTTCGTGTGTGTTCTCGCGCGTGCTTGGTAAGCTTTGATAGGCCAATCCCTCTTCCCCACCCCAACTGTATATCTGCCTTAGAGTAAGCACACTGTATCTGAACTGCTTAAGGTACTTAATTAAACTATAATTATAATTAATTAAACTATAAATGAACATTAAACATACACAACAAAATAAAATAAGAGTGAATACAAAATCAAAGGTACCAAATGCGAAATTAAAGGTACGTACAGATTTAAGCGCATATCTGTGGTATCCACGCGTACTTTGAGGCCATTTAAAACTTAAATGGCCTTGCTAGCCCAGGTAAATATATAATACTATGGATAAAAACGAATACCTGTCCTCAGAGGGAAAGTTAGGGATAACTGGTCAAGACAGATATCTAGAGGAACACGGACCACCGTGTCAGATCGGGGTATTCTAAAAGCGCTCGAAAACATTGGAAATAGCGGCTTAGGATTAAATCTCTACCACAGTCGAACTATGTACGTGATTGGAGGCATTTTGTTGACTCCGGTGATATTTTCTCTGGTCGTGTCGGAACCAGGTAAGTTTGAATCACAAGCAATGGGCTCATTTCCATTCAAACTATTGTTCTGCGAAGATCGATCCAAATCCGCGAATCCGGGACTCTCACTGATTATAAATGCAATCAGATTAACAGATTATCACGCCTCCTCTTGTATAGTCACCAACTTTTCTTATTTTACTCAACGCCAGGAGGTAGCTTGTTAATCTGATTGAGTTCAGGGAGGTTCTCCGCTGAGTTAGATTGATCTACGTAGTGATCAGATAAATTGTCCCCATGCATGAAGCCCGTATCCGGGGAGAGGGGGGCAGCTCTTTTTGTCGAGAAAAGGTCGGCTTTGGATACACATTGATCTAGGTTCACGAAGGTTTCATGGTTAAACTGAAATTGCTGGCTTTGGGGCCTGTTTTTTGTTGTAGGGATGGTAATATATCTCATTTTTAAAAAAATTTTGTTAGACTTCTTTTGCACAATCAATAGTAATTGTTCGATATTGTTTCATGAGAGGCAGTCACGTTCCTAAATATCATTCCATAAGCATAACGTTATAATCCTGAATTTTAGTATACTTTATTGTCCGTGTCTTAAACATTTTCATATATTCAGTGCTAGTGCATGATACATGTGATCTGAAAAAAAAAACAAAGGAAAACATATTTGTTTCAAACAAAGTCGAACATTCTCAACAAGGATCTTGGGCCAGTTTCGGAAATTACAAGATAAATGGCTAATACTTAAGAAATAAAGCGGTCGCACTCTAGTGAGCTACTACTGAATTACCCCAGGTAACAGTGAGCACCGACTTCATATCGTGAAGTCTTCCTGTGGGAGGCATTTAAGGCACTCAAGCAACAAATTGCCAAGTAAAACTTTATGTTCGAAATGAACTACATTCTGCTGCCCATTTGGTATTCACGGTAGAGCACGATATCACCACAACATCAACTATGACTCTATTAAGAGTACTTAAAGGAGAGGAAATGTTTAATTTGCATTATGACAGAAAAAACATTCTCTAATATTCATACGTAAATAAATAAGTGGTAAATATAGATATATAAATACAATAAAAAATATATATATACATGTACATGTTTATAGATTGCCCAACAAGTCTTGGGCAGTTTCAGATACAGGATAGGGGGCTTGAAAATGCTTGGGGAGGGCTATATTTGACGGCCATCGTAGGACTTTAGGAGTACTTTTAAAAGATTCCAAGCATTTTTCCCGAGAACTTAATAACCCAGTAGAACACTGCGTGTCAGACTATTGCAAACTGTTACCAACTTAATGACAATTAATTTCATGATACACTGCATAGCCACAGTGGACAGTATAACTTTTATAACTAGAATCATCATGTACCTCGGACAAATCTTTGTAAACGAATTGTTTTCATTGACAGTAGCTGGAATGTAGGTGATACTGACTTAATTCGAATTAATTTTCCAGTCTCAAAGTGTCTGAATTATTGGCAGGGGTCTGCTGGTGACAGACCATGATCTCTTTCTCCCTGAAAAACCTGACAGATATGAAGATTTTAAAAAAAAATAGGAGATGTAAATAAAGTACTTTTATTTCACTTGGGCAGATTGACAAGAGCATCCTAAAATCACGAAGAGTCAATTTTATGTTTAAATTTCATTCACTGTGTATCAATTACACTTAGTTGGTTCGTGCGTTGCTGGCCGACGTTTCCTGAAGGATGACCGAGACATTTGTATATTCCACCAGTGTCCGAACCACTGGTACGGTCTCACTCGACCCACAATGCGGCGCTGTCCGCCCGGGGCCAGGGTTCCTGACGGATACGGTGAGGGGATTCCTGAACTGGACCTGTTATTAGGCAGGTAGGCTTTCGTGTACTAGTAAAATTGCTGTAGATAACAGGTAAAAGTTGTAATGGGTATTTAAACAAGAAAGTAACATACCATGTAGCTAAGATACGTACAGAATTAAATATTTTTCCATATAAATGCACATTTGTTAGAGAGGAGATGGCTTTTTAAAGTCTATCAGATTACTGAATTTGAATTGAAGTAATTAAGTTCAAATTATCACAAAAAAATATAAACTGATATCTAATTAACTTATGTTATTTAAATGACATTTAACTGCAACTAAATCATTTTGCCTTTGAGACATTGTGGAATTATATTGAATCTCCTTCTTAATACCAAAGGCGCAACCCATGTACAGAACGTACCGGGAAAAAGACATGTCGTAGAATCCCTGCCCAGTGGACGCGGTGGGGTGGGTGGGGAGAGTGCTCTACCACGTGCGGGGAGGGGGTCCAGTGGAAGACCCGGGAGTGCACGCGCTGGCACCGGTGTAAGGGGTCCAAGGTGGAGAAGAGGCAGTGTTCTGGGCCACCCTGTGAAGGTAAGCAGGTGCAGCATTCACAGTTAATTATAGGTGATACATATACCGGGCACATGTAACTCTTGCAGCCGGACTGATAGTTACGAAATCACCCGATGGCTTTAGGATTTGTGTTGATGTATATGGGGCAATATGATTCATCTGTTTTGAGGAATATCTACTGAGGGCACCTAACGTAGAATATACAGGTCCAAGACACCAATCATACTTTTATTTGCAGATTTTAATAGCATGTGTTGGGCTTTGGTATAATTTGAACAACTGACACAATTCTCAACGTTTACATACTTGTTTTAAGTCTTTTTCATCAGCGAACCTGTATATGGTTTGTATATATCAGGCATATCTTACACATGTACCATACTCAGCTAAAACATTTTGCTGGAAGTTTCACTGAATATATATATATTCAATTTAGGTTTTGTGTGGACAGATTGGATCAACAGCGACTCGCCATCCACTGGGGAAGGGGACTGGGAGGTAGATATATCACCGGTGAGTAAACAGATTTTCAAGTACTGCATCAGTTATTCTTATGTGAATTGCATAAAAATATTATTACCTTACTATAATGTCGGGTTCGATATCTCGAAAAAGGGATCTTCCTGCTGAATTTTTCCTTTAGTTTTTGAATTTGAAATCGTCCAGCCCCAATTTTATAGTGTCACTTTTTTGGGGGGAGGGGTGTTGCAGGAAGCCAAGACCGTTCAAAGCATACGCTTGGTATTCTAATTTGTGCGTGTAATCAAACTAAAATATTAAATATTTATAAATAGAGAACCCTTTTATGTTTCAAGCCTCCCTGTGGTGAGAATCTGGTCCCAGTGAAAATCGAGTGCCGGTTTGCGCATCCCCTTTCCGGTGACGCAATGCCATGGACAGAGGGTAAACAAAATCTAACTATCCCCTGTGTTAACCCACGCGGAATAGGCTGTTTACACAAAGACCAAGCGTTGCCACCCTTGCCATCTTTGCCCACAACAGAACCGACAAAGCCGCCTTCCACTCCGCGTGCTGTCGATACGACTCGCCCTACGACAACGACAAAAATAATTCCAGAAGGGAACAGAACCATCTTTGCTGCAGCGCCGCCTGGTGTGTTGCAGGCGCCACCTGGGGTTTTGGCGGCAGTAGCGATCCCTACGTCTATGCCAGACGTACATGCGTCCCACTGTTTTGATTACGAGGTGCGGTACCTTTGTCCACTGAGGACGACAAAATCGTAGTCATACATGTTCACCAAGACAGCATGGACTCAAAGGCTAACATGTAATATGTTGACATGTTACTTTGACATATTGTGGTTCTGGTTTATATTTAATAATTAATTATGGTAGAAGAGTCGATAGATATGCTCATAGAATTTTTATACCCGCGACGTGTGATGTTACCGAGAACAATTTTTATCAAATATGTTTTCAGAAACCGAACACACTTTCATTACATCGGTTTGTTTACAGGTTAAAAGATATGTAATAAATGTGATCACCCAAATTGCAATGTCCTGTATGGAACCGTGTGCAAAGGCGTTAATTGTCACACGGGTAACCATTGATGTGATGGTGTTACCAGTAACTGCAAAGAGGCATGATAGTTTTTACTCATTAGAAGGTGCTTTTGTAAATGCAACTGGCACAAACCTTGAGATTCGTTTCTGCTGCGGGTATGATCTTGCATTTCTCGTTAGTCCTGTAGCATTCAGAATGACAAACGGAAAACAATAAGTATAATATATACATTTTTGCCTTTTAAGAAAACTGGAACCCTAAGAACAGGCGCACTGATGTTATGGATTTAGGTTTTGAAACCTGAATAATATCCTATTATATGTTAGTGGAGTATAATTGCGATGCATTAAATTTCGCATCTTCTTGGTATCCTTTGCAACAACGCATTCTGGCACAGACCTTTCCAAGTTTATGTATTCATGTAAAACTAATAAAATTCCCTGGTAAAAAATGTGTGAGGGAAATACATGTGCGTGAATTCAAAATATATCTAGTGGAAGTCGACCAACCCTTTCGACTCCACTCGGGCGGAAAATGTATAGTGCGTAATCGGAAATCAGAAATGACACACGCGCCTGTCCCTACGCGATCAAAGTACCCAATCACCTAGATATGTTCTACTCGGAAATGAGCAAGACCAGAATAATGTTCTTAAATTGCAGCCCACATGTTGGATGTGCACAAAGAGTGTTTGTGGACAAAAATTAAGATTCTTCACAAAAATTGAGTTTCTTTCCAATTATCGGGAACGGCAGGGGATGGGGGGAATTAAGGGATGAGAAATTTGGAATCAGGAAAAGGGGGGTTAACTTATCTTTCTCGACACCCTTATCTCAGTTTTTTTTTTCTATATGGGACAGAAATAAACTCTACAATTCATTGGAATGATGTTGGTTTTGTTTGTATGGTATGGATCTCCCGCAGTTTTAGTCTAATGAGCGTTATTTGCAAACAAGTGGATGACCGATAGATGATATACCGGTAGGTTATGTGTGTGTGTGTGTGTGTGTGTGTGTGTGTGTGTTTACAGTATTGTACAAAATCCATGCAAAATCCATGCAAAAAATATATTTGATTAATAGAAAAATTGATAAAAAATATAAATACGGTTACAAATGTAAAGATGAAGAATAACAAATTGTCTACACTTAATATGCTCAGATGTAATCGGAAACGTGACCTTATTATTTTATTGCTTTAATTAAACAAATGGTTCATTGTTCATTTGATCCCAGGTACATAAAAACTGATACCAGAAACATTAATGTAGCCTAATGTTTATAACAACCGGACACATTACGTTATCCATATAAAAAGTGTAACTTTTTAAAGTCCAGAATAGATAACTCATTGACGACGGTGAAGAGAAATCCCTGATACCAAAGCAATGGAATTTTGCCGTTGTTTACTTTCCCTTATTGCATTACTAGCACTTGTCAGAGGAGAACCAGGTGAGTAATTTTAATTCCATATGGTATAATGTTCCTGTGTATACTTCTGTTGTACGAATAAAATTGGGGGGGGGAGGCACTTTTAATTGGTATTAGCATATCATTGATTATTCATTTAAATCGTGTGAACAATACTTCAGGATTCACGAAACTTCAAATATCTCCGTTATGCTTGTTTTAAATAACAAATAAATGATCCCTGCTAAAGTAGCCATCCATGTACGTGTAAAATCTTTTAGATATCCAATTTACAGGATAAGTTGTCCAGGACATTTTCTAAGTTGTACATGTGCGTATATCAATGCAATATCACTTCAGTTGGGATTTGCGATCCTCACCGGCTAATACCGCAATTTCTGCGGGACAGTTCCAACCGATGCTTGTTTCACCAATGCGAATACCAAGGCACAAGGTACCTGCGCTCTCGTGCCGTAGAGTGTCCCCCGTGTTATCTGGTACCTCACCACTACGGTCATAGAATCCCAGATAACCATTACCCGTGCCAGGTCCGTAATTGCTTAGCTATATGTGACCGGTCGCGGCCCGGCTCGTGGACGGAGTGGAGCCATTGGGGGAGGTGTAGCGTCACGTGCGGTGAGGGGACCACGTGGCGAGTGCGCCATTGTGTGGGTGGGTCGGCCCTTGACTGCCCTGGAAACCTTAGGGAGAGAAGGCGTTGCTACAAGGGAGATTGTAAGTTTGTCTTTTTTTCGCCTCTTTTTAATGCGAGGGTGATTTGGATTTGTGCTTTTGCTATGATACCTAAGTTTCGAGCCCCTGTTACACCGAGCTTGCAACCGCTTGGAGACAGTTTACCAGAATTCTCCAAGCGAACGCCCGCCCGGTATAAAACTAGTACCTATAGCTTTTCAGGATGCCCGACCACCTGTATTACATTCATGTTTTACATGGGATGGACTTTCTTATGACTTCTTGTACCCCTGGTAGTTATATTTGTATATCTCTTTGATTTATACAAAGCTCCGTGGTAAACGATAAATCGCATAACCTTTTGCATTTATGTTTGTTTGAAACTCAGCGTCTGTTTATTAGGACTAACGATGATGATGATGATGATGACGCTATATATACCGACAGTCAGCTCGGTGTAACAGGGGCTCGAAACGAAACAGAAAACTTTCTTGTACTTTTTAACCGAGAATCGATTCCAACCATATAAACGAGTACAAATGCACTTGTTTGGTCATAAGAGAGTAACCTTGTTTGACTGAATAATGGGTCATATTCCCCACCTAATGTTCCAAAGGAACTTAAAATATTATTTGATAAATTAATGATGCGTTTCCATTGACTGTCAGTATAATTTTCCGCTTTTTAACATAGTACGTTGTAGTACTTGTACCAACTTACGTGAAGAGTCACAGTTATGTTTTTTTAGTTTAGTCCAGTGCTTTATTATTCCCCTGATATTCTTTGCTCCAGTATTTTATAATAATAATAATAATAATAATAATAATAATAATAATAATAATAATAATAACAACAACAATTATTATTATTATTATTATTATTATTATTATTATTATTATTATTATTATTATTACATGTAAGAACGCAATTTTTTAGATTGAAAATGATAGAGAAGAAAAATGATGTAATGAATTTTAATGAACATGTTTCGATCAATTTCAGGTAATGAACTTGTGGATAAAGACTTTGATTAGGGCCATAAGTCGTTTTGGAATGTGGCCGAAGTCCGGATCAGTGTCCAAATACAGGAACACGAATGGAAATTACAACTGTAAAGACTCAAAATGCCTTTTTTAAATATGATCCTGGTTTCTCAAACAACCTGTAATTCTAAAAATAATAAAAAGAATAAAGGTGTTTACATTACGTGTAATTCTTTAAAAGGGTGTTATCACTTTCCTCGTGTTACAAAAGTGCACTCCAAAATATATTTGACATTTACAAACAAAAATAAAGTTTTTAGGATATCATTATTTCAAATACAGCGTTGTTGATATAAAGAAATGAATGAACTTATGTAAATTTGACACTAATACATAAATAATAAAATACTTATGTGTTTTGTAAATCACACAATTTAACTGCGTATTAAATGGTATTCTAAAGATATTTCGTAAATTCTATAAACAAATAAGCTAAAAGTTATTACGAATGTTGACTATATATGTTTGTGTGTGTCCAAGCGTACCACGTCCTGATATTAACCCTTAGTGTTACGGAGACTGCGTATATTTCCTGATTATGACCAAAATGGCGCATTAATTTAGCCGTCTCAATAATAACCAAACCCTTTATGCAGAGCTTCAGGAAGGATACATTGGAGGTCACGTTCCTGGGCGATAAGAGCATTTAAATATACCTAATGTACATTTGGTATGTACATGTGTATTAAGTTTGAAGCTACATTGCAACTCAAACACCTCGTTCAGATAAACGAAGCAATTATTTTCTTTTTTTAAGCATCGATCTCAACTCTTTGCTGCAAATTGGCTGAGAAATTAACGTCTGAATTATAAAAGATCTGCGCTTAAAACATAACTTTGTGTAAACGGACCTAAAACTATATGTGTGTGTGTGTGTGTGTGTGTGTGTGTGTGTGCGAAAATGCCCACCGCATTGTATAATGAAAAGAAAACGCAACGAGGCTGGTACCACTATCGCACTTACTGCTGACCAAATCATCAATTTGTGTGTATCATTTTATTGAACATAAAAGAATTTTAGCCCTTTTGCCCTAATTTCATACAATAGAAAGAAAGAAGAATATGTAAATAGATAGATAGATAGATAGATATTATCAAAAAGATATATAAACTGTACATTTAATTTTATTACATAGTAAAAACATTTGAGTAGACTATTTACATTTTTGCCCTGGTTTCAGTGTAGGAATGTTAACTTAAACAGTCTTTCATCCTTGCTGTACCACAATATTCATCTCATATACATTAATAGATAATTTATTTACATGGAAATATACATGAAACTGAATGATACGTTAAGACTGCAGAAAACCCACCGATACGGCAAATTCAATATTACTTTCATAATTTATTTATACTTAATACATCTGTGAAAACGACCACAAAATCTAAACTGCTGGAGTACCTTACACTCTTCTTCAAACACAGATTGTGCAGAAAAGGTTGCTAAATAATACTTACACTTTGTGCAATTCAAACTGCGATTATTTATCCAAATCATATTTTTTCTCACCGGTGAATATCAGCACAGAATCTTACTGACAAGCCGATACGGCTCTCCCTTTTAAATTTTTCATAAATTATTTAACCGATATAGTTAGGGTATAATACTGATTTAGATATGTGTATAACCTGTACAAAAAGCGTTCTGAATATCTTATTTACAGTTTCATTTGGTAGTTTGTTATTGAAAACTGGATGTGGTTGACCCAACAACAGTAAGATTGTCAGTGGGTGTGACGTCACTGTTGGTAGTCGACGTGTCGTCACTTCCGGTCGCTTCACCACTGCCTTCGGTGGGAGCAAAAGAAGGAGCTTGCGTAGACTCAGCAATGGATGTGGCGGAGGTTCTTGTAGTCTCTTTTTGTGTGGTGGTTGTGGACAGTGTTGTGTCTACGTCACTCGCTTGCGAGTCTGATGTGACGAATGACGTTGCATGGTCGTCTTCTTGTAGCATGATGTCAAAATCCTTAACAACCGTCTCTCCAAAGCCTGTAACACGAGATATGATATCAGTTGTTATGAAATAGTGACCCTATAAAATCTAAATGATACGGCCATGGTATAATTCCAACTCGATAGAGCAGACATGAGATGATAACATGACAGGTAAAAGAAACGATTGGACTTGCAAACTGGGTACGTTGTTAGATAAGTTGGGGATAAGAACTAACAATACATCTGGATCTGTATTTAAGATTCACAGGTTCATGTGCAGTTACAAATTTCGTGAGAGGAAAATTGGAGCAAATAAAGTCTCACTTGAAAGACTTTCATTCCGCTACTTAAAAAAATATTTATCTATATTATTTATTTATTTATTTATTTATTTATTTATTTATTTATTATTATTATTATATTTTTTATTTTTATATTTTATTTATTTATTTATTTATTTTTTTTTTTTTTTTGCTGCTATGCCAACAACAATCCAATGAATACGTTCCTCAAATGTCTGTCAGTGACTATGAATTGAGTGGACAATGAATAAAAAGCATACACCCTTATCCGAACACGAACCTAACTAAAAAAGGCTAAACACGTGAATCAACTTACATGGATGCATATTACACAAACGGCTCTCCACCAGGAGTCCCGGACAGCTCTGTCCTCCCAGACACACCCGTGTGCGCCTCTGGGTACCGACCCCACAGTCCCTCGTGCACTGCCCCCAGTTACTCCACCGACTCCACGCCTGTGCCCCTCGTATACATCTCGACGCCAGTGTTGGGTTGTAGAGTACGCAAGGGTTACTGTGGCTTGGGAACCGTCTGGTGGCACCAAAGGACCGCGGGACGACGTAGGGCTGTTCGCAGTACATCTTGCCGCTCATCCTCTGGTAGGGCGTGCCCAGGTACTCGCACCTGTAGTATACGCAGGGGTTCATGTCGTCGGGTATGAACTGACCCAGTCTACCGCTTCTGTCGCATTGACGAACTGAAATTGAAGCAGTTGAATTAAGTCAGAGAATAGATATAGTAAAAAATAATTACAGGTCAGGTAATAAACTGAAGGCAACAATCGATTTTCATTATGTTATATATTATATATTTTCTTATCATTACTTATTCATTCATTATTATAATTATGAATTTATCATTTTTTCTTGTCAGTGTGAATGTTATGATTTCCCTCTCTCCAAAATAAACACATTTTAGCTTCATAAATTTTTACACACAACTTTAAACCTCAATAAAAAAAAAAAGTAAATCCCACTACTTACCGGGTACTGTCAAAGCGCTTTGCAGAGCTGTGAGAAGAATAGCTGATGTCAGAAACATGATCGTTGTGTAGTATGTCTTTTAAAATCGAATTCTTTTTTAATATTCTTCTTTCTTTATAGTGCTCCCCTGAATAAGCTCCTAAACTTTCCGTGTTCTTCAGTGAAGAAAGAGCCCCAATGACCGGTGTTGGATGAAGCGTGGACTTATATACAGTAAATTACGACGGGGGTGGCCGCGAACTATGACTAAGTCACATTTTATGTCTTCCGTTTACCACGTGCCACAAGTCATAATGTAGGTTTTTAATAGCTGCGGTAGCCTCCCCGTAAATCTTCTAAGGGGGCATAGCTAAGGACTTAACCAGATGGTTTTAATATCAAAATGAAGCAAGATCCCGGTGAGGTGAGCGTGCGCACCCCGGAAAACAATGATTTACCACGAGGTGGGGGGAGGAGGGAGCTTATTATAGAGAGGAAAGGTGTGCTTCATATGGTAATTAAGGGTTAACATACACCCCATTTCCATAGATTTTTAGATCGATCTATCCCTGTGGGGAGTCTCACTAGATCACTGTCAGCTTGGCCGGCTTAAGCGTCTGTCCCGCCTACTAAAAGCTGTAAGGGGGTAATTAACTATGGTGCCCGCTCGGCTGACTGCAATTTAGTCTGAACCCCCAGGGAGTTAGGTCGATCTAAAACTTAATCTTTAGATCTATCTAAATCTCTGGGAAAGCACCCTAACACTTTTAATGACCCCTGTATATTCTTTTTCTGTTTTCATTTCCAAAGGGGGTTCAATAAAGCTGGATATAGGAGCAGCGTTCATTCATTTATAATGGAAGTACATGTATGACTTCTATTGCCTCACTCATGCGGAATACCCAATTAAAATTCGTCCCTGTAAAACAAATGTGAGATACATTTATCTAAAATGCCAACCCACTTTTATCCCCCCCCCCACCCCCCACCCCTTCCTCACTGCCTCTCTTCCTGGACACCATACACAATGCTCAAAATTGACGTTTATTTATATCCGTTGACTTTATTTTAGGATAAACTATGCTGGCATTTTGATACTTCCAAACGAATTTCATCTTGGATTATTCTGAAACATTCCCAATGTTAGGTATTATGATCTTGCTAAGGAAACTGGTTTTATGTACGTACCTTAATTTTCCTGTAACAAATACGCTCTCACAAAATTACCTTAATCAATATTTGCAATATTTTGAAAATTTAAATATATATTAAAAGGTCATTTGCCTTTCATGCATAGATAAACGTTGTACAATGTCCGCTTTTAATCAACCTCACATGGCAATTTATTGCATTTTGATTACTCGGAAATTAGGAAAATATCTAAATATTTGTTGGGACCATTAAGAAAAGAAATAACTTACAATAAATTGCCGTTCATTTAAATTGATGAAGGAAGTAACTGCTTTCATACAAACCACTGGCAATAACTCATTGTAAAGCATCATATATTTTTCTCAACTTTGAATACAATGCTCAACACATGTTGCCGTTGTTCTTCGAAAATAGGTTTCTAAAAGAAGAAACAGGACAAAGAGAGGCGGCATCAGTATCTAAATATTCAACAAACTACTTTTTTTGTGAAACAAGCACCGTTTATAAAACTCATTTACAGAAATGTAGAGAGGCGAAGGACTTCACCCCACTCTCCTCAATCACTCACTCACACACACACACACACACACACACACACACCTCTTTGCTATAAAATGAAAGAAAATGTGTGTATAAACCAAGAAAAAATATGTAACCCTATACACTATATATATAGAAGGAAGTGTCATGTACTCAGACTTACAAAAAGAAGCATGGGCATTTCCCAAATGCATGCATTCTCACTTCAGTAAGAGGCGCGCGGGGGGATATATTTGCTTAAAACAAACGCCCCCCCCCCCCCCAATTCCTAAAATCATCGAATCGTATCCAAGGTTAAGGTATGTTCATTTAAATAAAACGATATCTGGTACATGTAACTAAGAAACATTCTCAGAGATAGGTATGTGAACTATGTGTAACCGCGAGGGGCGAGGAGGCCACCCCTACCCCTATTCATGTCATATTTTTCCTCATTCTTTTAATTACAAATTGTCTTAAATTCCGGATCTGTCAATCTGTCAGTCGGAGATAACAAGAGATACAAAAAAAATATCTCTAGATATAAGGACGAGCCTTGGCATATGTAAAACATTCGGGGGAGTTATTTGGTTTTGATTGTCCTTAATTAGGGTCCTGTGGAACCGTATAGACATTGAAGGATTCAGACGGTTAGATAAATGGCTTAAGGTAAATGATAACAAATTCCGAATGCAGATTTTACATAATACTTGAAAGTTCGAGATTAATGATTTTGTGCTAATCGCAGTGCCAAACGTTCAGAACCCAACCCAATTTCCCTTCAAATATTTAATACAAACTTTTCTATAACTAGCATCAAACCATAGATGACCAATAATAATTCCGTTTAAATATATAGAGTAATTGCGGTAGTGCATTTATTTGTCAATTTTATGTTTACCTCCTCCTCGTCCATACAAACATAAGCTGATAATAAAAACTCATCATCAGTGTCATACAAGGAAGCAACCACAGTTTCCTACAGCGAAATCATTTCATCATCTTGTGCACCGTATTTTCTAGATGTAAGAGATCCGCTGAATTACTGTAAATGTCTGTTATTTAATTGCATCCGTAATACAGCTTTTACATGTGAGACACAATATTGAAAATGATGAAAAAGATGAACCACGGGCCAATAAAAATCATGTATTGTTGTCATTGCAATGCTTAAAATCTACCGACCCAAAATGTTAAAGTTAATGAACATACTGGAATACCCACCTTTAACTTATTCCGCGTAGAAGAAATAACTATTACGGAGAAAAACTTTACTCCTGCGACCCCCCCCCCCCAAAAAAAAAATAATAAATAAATAAATAAATAAATAAATAAATAGATAAATAAATAAATAGATAAATCAAATAGATAAATAATAATAATAATTTTGTATTGTTAAGAAAAATGATCAGATTCCATTCTTCGCAAGTGATCAGAATGAATTTAAATCAATTGAATGAAAGTCGGGAAGTTGTTCGCAAGTGTAAGTATTATTTTGTTAGGAATACATTTGTTCGAGCATTCTATTCCACATTATGCAAGAATGGAAAATATTATCAACGTCAAAGAGACAAAGAGAGAACGTCAACGTCAAAAAATCAATTTTCGTGATGCTGATAACAGTTGCAAGCTGGAAATTGTGAAACTTTTCAAATATGACGTTATAGCATATGGATTTAAGTTGTTTACTTTTAAAAGGATTGAACTAGTGCCTGACGTTGAATAATTAAAATTATAAAATACAATGAAAAAAAATTCGGATAAAAAGATATCGTAAATAACTTGGGCAAACACGTCAGCACTAAATTGGAACGGGAAGAAAACGCTTTGTTTCTAGGAAAACTAAGAGTATGGTGAAGTTATACACAGTGTTATGTAGCTCTGAACCAAGACTGTTTTTATTTCCTTTCACAACGTATTATGAAGGCCTTTATTGCCCTATAAGATCATAAAATATATATTTTTTTAAATGAGCGCTTCCTTAAACTTTTCAAGGAATTGTTTGGAAATTTAAAGCCTGTGTGTAGCTCCTAATCTTTAGTACAGACCTTTCGCCATAAATTGAAGAAACTGAAAAAAACATGCCACGAATAATAGCCCTTCCTTACGGTTGACAATATTCAACATTTGTAAGTCATAAAACATTTGAATGTCGACAAAGTAGTGCAATTATAGCCATTATCTTTATCAAAATAGCCTACAACATCTTTAAATAGCCCATGTCAACGTTAATAGGTCACATTTCAGATTTAAATCGCGGTGTGGTACAACTTGAACGTTCTGCTATTTTAGTTTATCTATGATCGATTAAGATGGAGATCGAAAAGCATTTTAATTAGAATTATAAGCCTCAGAGAGCACATGAAATATACAATCAAAATTTAGTTTGACTGTCTGATCAAAATGACAATCTGAGGACGTGACACCAGTGTATATTAATGGTCTTTGTGGTCGTACATCCCTCACCGGCAACGGTTATTCGGATTCCTCCACCTTAAATTAACCTTATGACAAAATCCTTAAGTCACGTTGCGTAATATACTGTACATTAAACTTTGAGACATAAAAATACTGAAAATAGAACCACTGACTAATAAGAGGCACTGAGACTTTTCCTGTGTTTTTTAAATGTTAAACTTGAAACGGCAAAACACCCACAAACAGTCGACAATTAGTACGGATTTATATCTCTATGTATATCATGTATGTTTAAACACGCGACTTTACACTGTAGGTAAACACATTGTCTGATAGCTGGAATGCCGTTGAAAGATGTTTAGACGGAAGTGTTAATGTTTTAGTTATTAAATGCCATTTATATACCAAAACTGCAACCGCGTTCTTAAAATTTTGAAAATAATGGCAATGATAACATTAACCGTGATTTTCCTTCGTCTCCGAAGCAAATAACTTATAAATTTTTATATGCAGTTTTGAATCTCAGCAATTTTTTTTTCAGTTGATGCTAACGAATAATGAAAATGGCATGTGATTTTAAAGAAAATATGTCAGATTTAAAGCACAGTTATATTAATCACTAGGTTAGTTATTTGGGTGACTCTCAAATGTTATTTTTCCTAGTGTATTACACTAATTTCATTCTTTTCAATACTAAGCATTTCACCGTTGTTCATAGAATAAGTCATCAATTTTCAACTATGTAATCAAAGTTTAATCTTCTGTTATCTGATTTTTATCTTTCTTTCTTTTCTGATCGTTGTCATATTCCCATCATTCATGAACAGTCCGAGAAAATAGAATTGATTTTTTTTTTAGTTTACCTCAATAACCTCAACACATCCTATTCACTTGAGATGTGAGTTCTCAGTACAACTAAGTTACACACAGCCGAAGTTCAGTGTTTTACACCTGTCCGTCCTTAAATAAGAACATTTTTGTGGCGACTGTTTTGCAATTAGACACAAATCTAATCCAGTTGATGAGATGCATACCTTAAAACAAAACCACAAGCCCAAGCAGCAGTTGATTATACGAGTAATTCATTCGAACGAAAAAAATGCAGAAATTTATTAACTGAATGCCATTATATTAAATGTATTCAAATGTTAAATGTGTAGATCAACTGAAACAGCTTTATTGTGTAACAAGCCCATCCCTAAATACCCGCACCATCTCAAGAATGAAATAATCGCCATATCGAATTAAAACCCATGTATGTTCATCGGATTACACCAAATAAAACGCGTCAGATTCCGAATTTGGCCATGCGAATGCTGGGGAACAGTCTTTAAAGTGTATTATAAACGTCAGGCGGTATTTTCTGAGTTTATGTATTCAAAAACAAAGAATCCCGGTTATAAAATGTGTAAACTAAACATGACTTAAACATACCCAGGTGCAAATGCAAGTACACACAATGGACAATAGAAGTGTCACTCCCTGAATCAGAGTAATCAAATAATAAAGTAATCAATAATCAAAGTAGGCAGATCTTGAGTAGTTATAATGCCTGGTCTACATTTTTTTTTTGAAATTTGTTGTTAATAAAATGATACCAGGAGCATATCATTCCACAGTCATTTATCTCCCCCAAAGTATTGGTTCAGTAGTGGCGACACTTCTATTGTCCATTGTGTGTACAAGGAAGAAAGAGGCAAGGGTCTGCAAATTACACTTGGTCACCCCATAATGTAGTGCAGTACGAATGTCTCTTGCCCAATCGACATATTATCAACTGACTGTTTACTTACTCTCTACCTGGATAGTACAGATAGACCACAACCCAACACTAAAAAATTAAGACAGTCCCTTCAGCTGCTAGAGCGTGCATTACCAATTGTGAACTGCGCCGTATTTATAATATAATAGTATGTATACCAGCATATCAGTATCATCCAGTATGATACTCCAGTTTCTGACTTTTTAAAAAATCCCCGCACGCTCTTTTAATGGTAGAGCTCCGAGCCCATATAGTTAGCACTTGGCCTGGCTCATTTAACATATGCTGTTCATTTCAATTCCACAGCATTTAAAACCAAAGTAAAGGCTATGTATATACATTGTTGTCTGTCTGCCCCCATATCAACATGAAAATCTATGTAATATTTAAAAGCAAGGCTAATATGAAACTTAGCGCCAGTATCTTCTCAGTAAATATTTAAACGGGCTTTCTTAAAACTAGCGCGATGTGCTTTTTTGTTTTCCCGCGTTCTAGTTCTTCAAAGTTTGCAGCGATTTGTTCTAAACGAGCTCCACCATAATCGCGGTGCATGTTGAAATACAAAGTGCCTTCCCAGCTACCAAGACGTCCTGGCACTGCTAGCAAAAACAACGCACCAGGCTTCAGCATACACCAGACTTGGGCCGCGGCTTCAAGGTCGCCATATGGATTGATGGGGTCTCCATACCGACCTAGGCCAGAGTGTTCCAAAGAGGAAAACGAAACGGCGAAGTCCATTCGGCGCGACGGATCGTTGGTGATTTCGTCCGCCGTATCTGACATTAACTTGAAGGACAGTTGTGGGTGGTCGAAGAAAACTGGATTGTAATCAACAGTTGTCACGTGCTTCACACCAAGATTTAATAGCATGACTTCTAGCCAAGGACTTTGACTTCCTATGACAATTCCTGTCTTGTCTTTTAATTCGTCTCGGTATCTGTAGAGGATCTTTTTGAATCTGTCGCTATCTTCTCCATACGAGCCCATTTTTATTTGATCATTATCCAATTTTAGAAGCTTTTTGATATCTTCTGATGTGAACGTTGTTTTATTGCGTTTTTTGGAGTCATCAAGGTACCGGATATGCAACTTCAAGGTGCCATTTTGCGTGAAATCTTGAAGCATCTCTGGAGGCGGGTTTTTCAAAGGTGGCTTGAAAGTTTGTCCAGATGGATGCTTCAGCCTGAAGAATATATCCCGACAATTGAAATCTTTTCTTAGGATATGATCACCGCTTTTCTTTCGAATGGAATAGTCGCAAATTTGGCCACAGGGAGGGGTAGATTTAGTGTCATCGGCAACATCATCTGCCGTGTTCGTTCTCGTCTGCAAAACTTAAAATATAAAATATATCAATATAATATATAATATGAAATATATATTTAATTGCTTATTGCAAAAGGGGACCATTGTTGTGATCTTTTCAGAAATTGAAGGGGGCCAGGACCCCCCCCCCCCCGACACCCCCTAACATGAACAGTGTTTGTACAATCTTCTGTTGTGTCAGAGAGAGAGAGAGAGAGAGAGAGAGAGAGAGAGAGAGAGAGATAATATATCAGAAATCACTTATATATACCTGAATTTTCCGGATTTTTTCTGTTCGAGACTCTTGGTGCTGACGTCTAAATGAGAAAGTAAATGCAAAATACTGTTTACTCTTCAGTCCATTCACGTACAATTCAACATTCATTACAACTTAAATTACTGACTGATCAAGACGACTTTACAGGTTGACTTTGAAGACAAAGCTCTGCAAGAGTGCAGTGTTTTCTACAATCGATTCATCCTGATTACCCCCGTAAAAAAATTAGTTGATACCACCTACCTCTTTCCGATCCACTTGTGTGTTACTCCTTTTAGCCATAAAGCTAACAGCCAGTAGCAGTATGATGGTCACAAAAATGCCCTTGAGAGTGAAAGACGGCAATCTTATTTTCATGGTGTAAACGGTGTGATGTATGTAAATAAGCTCTACAGCCTTCAGGTGTAATGAATATATACTGCCTGCAATATGAAGATATTATCAATATTTCACAAGGAACGCAGTGAAATATTCATAATAACGGAACGCAGTATTTTTTTTTTTTTTTACAGAAAGAGACGTGACCTCCATAGACGACTATGCTCTGTAATAATCTCTTAAGAGATTATAACATAAAACCAAACTTTTTAGAAAAAAAACAGGGACTAAATTTGAATGTAGAAATGGATTCATTAACCATTGGTAAGTATGGGAAAATTGTTGTTTACTCCTGGAAAATTAATTTTTTTAGCCAAAACGAACAGTTATCATCCCTTTAATATGACTGCTATTACATGTATGACTGAGTATTTCTGAAGACATGAACTGACCACAGCTTTAGAGAAATATACGTAAATCATCCTTTCCGAAACTTCGAGGGCTTTCAATTAAATTATGGCACTGAATAATAAAATTAAGTGCACGGATGTACAGTATACGGGTGTCTAAGGCTGTGTTCAGAATAGAAATGATCGTACTAACAGGATCGATCTACAGTATATCCATAGAAGTAGAGATGGTATATCATCGGGGATTCCCGCTTAAAGGCGCAGTCATTGTAATCAGCCTAATTATCTGGCATGCCCCTTCGCAAAGCAACATGAAAAACATCATGAACCACGAATTTTTCCCGACTTAAACCAAGCACAGCTTAAAGATATGCGGGGCGTGTCAGACAATAACCTTGCGCGCGTTTTACGTCACAGGTCTTGTGTAACTACCCACGTGCTACGATTTTTCCCTTGAGGGGGGGGGGGGCAGCAAGCGGACATTTTGTACAGGAGCAATGCAAAGATGGGTGAAAACGATACGTTGTTTTTAACCGAAGACGATGTCCCCGGGGCGAAACTGCCAACACCAAAAGTAAAGGAGCATACCAACGTTGTTTTGAAATGATGTGGTTAGCCTGTCAGTGGCGAGTTGGGGAGAAAAGAGCAGCACTGATAGCAAGGTACTGTGTACACGTGAACCGGCAAAGTTAATGATAATTTCATGTTGCAAAAGCATAATTAAATCAGTTAGTTATTTTCCAAACGATATTATCTGAATAGCAGATACATAGATCAAACTAACAACAATAAAAATTTTTGATGACATTGAAAATCAAAACCTGCGGTGCACGATAGGTTGAGGAGGACACTGCCACAGCAAGTAATGCATGAATTTTGTTACATAACACCAAATGCTTGTGTCGTTGTTAACTCTGTGGTATTATTACTGCTCAAATTAATACCTGATATTATTTCTCAGGCTACCAAGTACAAATCAACTTATTTTGTGGCAATTAACCTCCATGCTCCATCATGTGTGCAGGTTGTTTATTATTATCATTATTATTATTATTATTTGTTCAAGTACATTTTGATAAAGTGGCTATTCTTCAACAAGAGAAAGTCAAAATTTATGCTGAAGTTTAAAAGATTAAATCATCAGTAGTATGTACAATTAAAGCTATTTGATTATGCATATTTGATTTTCAATTATCTTGATTATGATATGAGATTTCTGCCTTTTTCTCTTGCCCTCAAATCAATATATAACATGTAAATTGATGGTGCTTTATTACAATTTTTGCTTTATACTTTCAGATGTAAAAACTGTGTAGCAGTTGGTAAAGCTGTAGAGATTGATGTAAGCATAGATCAGGGGAAATGGTATTAGAGAAACTAGGAGGACAAGACATAGATAATGTACTAGTAGATCCATCATCACAGCAAGGGTAGATGGTGTGATCTTGTCCCTGAAGCTGTGCCACAGGTTTTCAACTGGTTGAGTCCTTACTAAGACAAGCTGCTGCGGTGTGAATCGCAATATGTACATTCAGGTTATACGTGGCAGATTTATGACAAAAGAGACCTTCAAAATATACTTCAAAGGAGTTATTCTTGCGTCTACGCCTCATCAAAAGTACACAGTTACAGTAACTAGAACATTGTCTGCAAATAGTGAGGCAGTGAAGGCTGCAAGGTGCCATTGTTTTTCAGTATTAAGGATGACAGTATCTGTTATTTATTTATTTATTTTTTATTATTATTCATTTTTAATGGGAGGGAGACTCACTTTGTTCTTTCTATGCCCATTCAGTGAAGGGTTGGTGGCAATATATGGTAAACCTGTCATGCCTGTATGTAGAATTTCTCTTGCTCAAATTTCTACATTTATTGAGTGCTTTATGAAGTTTCCTAGCTGACTGATTAATGAGGTTACTTGTAGAAATATCTTGCCTACACATTTTGTGATATTTTTACTACTTTATACATATGATTATTCACATTTCATCAGTGGTGTGTGAAAGGTACTTGGTGTTTGCATTTTAGAACTGTAGATCTGTGTACCAGCAGGGTTATATTGCAGTACTATCTGTTAATGTTTCTAAAAATAAGCTTCATGTTTGATAATTAATTGGTTTGAAATAAATAAATAAATAAATAAATAAATAAATAAATAAATAACCCAAATAAATTCAATTCATTTTAGATTTCACATAATCTGTTTTTATTGTTTCTTCTAAGCATTTAATCATAACATCTCCCATCATTATACTGTTATTGTGTTATAACATTGAAAGTTTCCAAGTTTTATTAACAGGTTGATGCTAACGTATTACAAATAAATATAAGCGTCAAAGCATATTTCCTTACTCAAATGTAGCAAACGTACCACTGGCATAATACCGGTAAAGATACAGGTAAAGATGACAGCATTGATAACTGGGTTTACAGCGCTGTTAGTGCAGCATGGTTAGTGTCAGATTGTTATCTGATAAAGTTCGCTACTAGTACATGTACCTGGGAACAAAAGGTCTGGCACTTGACAATCAAGTTGATAAAATCACAAAACGCCTGTAGAAAATATAGCATACCTGCCCAACATTGATTTGTTCAGATTCTTGACTAAGGGGTGCGTTACTGGTGTCAAGGACAAAGACTTAAACTTAAGGGTTTGGCACTGTACATTCCTCTCGATTTCTGCCCAAATCTAAAAAAGCCTCAGTTGCTTAACTTTCGCCAAATTCCCAATATCTACAGGTTGTGTTGTTTAATGCTTGGGGTCTCTTCTCTGGCGGTGGTTAAAGGGGACACCTGTGCGGTCTGTCAACGCACCAAGACCCACTTTTGCCAGTGCCACATTTTCCATTGCCGTAAATATCAAATTTGTGAATAGAATGAGGAATAATGACAGTTATGAAAAATGTTTGGAAGTACCTGTCGCCTTCGCCACAGTATCCATATGGGCTGTGCTGCCCCACCACCACAGGCGACACCTTGCGGAGCAAGCGTGCGTAATCCAGGGTGCAACTGAAAATAACCTTGTCGCGCGACCTTATTCAGCTGAAGACGTCTGAAACTTTTTTACAGGCTAATATGCATGTGGAGGAAAGTAACGTAACTTCTATCAGACTTGAATTCGTAGATATGCCTATAAAACCGTTTTGTGCTTATTATATATATTGAAAATAACTATCCACTTGTATACTGTGTAGCACGAAATGTTGTAATACTGTATGATACTGCTGCAACATACACGGTCTGCAGCTATGAGAAGATACTCCAACTTTAATAACCTCAATTTATACAAATAGCACTACTACTGCAATATATACAGGGTCTGCCGCTGTAAAAAGATACTCGAACTTTAATAACCTCTGTTCAAACGAGTAAAATCACATAACACCATTCAACCTGCTTTAAAGATAAACACAGATTCAAGATACTATATAAAACAAATCATGGGACAAACACGAGCCGATTTATTATTTCCCATCTATTTAAACCGTTTTACGGACTTTAATGTCTTCATTATAGCGTCCATGTATTTAAATGACAATTCAGAAATAAATAAATGATCTCCTTCTGTACCCCTGGGTTAGGTGGACCCACTTATTCTTCCATTACTTGATTATTATTATCTTTTTTATCAGAGCGCCTTTTTCAAGACTAAGACGCCATGCACTCCAACCCTCGTGCGTTCGAGTATCTCGTAATTTGCAGTGATCTGTTCAATTCGGGCTTCTCCATATATACGATGTGCGTTGAATACCAAAGAGCCCTCCGGAGTGCCAAAGCTGACTGGTATACCAAGATAAAACAACGCACCGGGCTTAAGCATGCACCATATTTGAGCTGCTGCCTCCAGGTCACCGTGTGGATTGATGGGGTCCCCATAGCGACCAAGGCCAGAATGTTCCAAAGAAGAAAACGAAGCAGCAAAATCCATTAGGAGCGATTGGTTCTTGGTGATTTTATCCGCTAAATCTGACATCAACTCGAAAGACAGCTGTGGGTGGTTAAAGAAAACTGGATTGTAATCAACAGTTGTCACGTGTTTCACGCCAAGATTTAATAGCATGACTTCCAGCCAAGGACTTTGACTTCCGATGACAATCCCTGACTTTTCTTTTAATTGATCTTTGTATCTGTAGAGAACCTGTTTGAAGCCATTGCTCTCTGCTCCATATGAGCCAATATTTTCATCTTTATCTTTGGTTAGAAGAGTTTTAATTCGTTTTGGAGTAAATGTTACCTTTCGACCCTGACGTGAGTCATCATAGTAGAAAGAACTCAAATTCAAACCGCCATTCTGTGTGAAATCCAGAAACAGCTCTGGTGGCGGCTCTTTCAGGGGTGGTTTGAAGACTTTACCTGGCGGATTCTTCAATCTGAGAAATGTATCCTTACAGTTGAAGTCTTTTCTCAAGAAAGGATCTTCTTTTCTCTTGTGCATGGAAAAATTGCAAATTTGACCGCAGGGTGGGAGGGAATGCACTCTTTCTACATTCTCCCCGGTGTAATTCATCGTTGTCAGTTCTAAAAACGGGAAAAAATGTATGTTACTTCATGTGAATTATATCTTCATTCTGTGGAGGACTTATCCATCTGGTAATGTACTGCATATATTTCGAGTCACCAATGTCAATATACTGATTTCTTTTTTTATTTATTTTATTTATTTATTTATTTATTTATTTATGTGAACTCTTCTAGGATGTTGATTAGATTTTTCTGTGCTCTGAAAAAGTTGATTTTATGGAATGAGCGTCTTCTGCTACCCGTTCAGTTTATCAACAGAATGCGACTTTATGCTTATGTGATGGTGATTCAATTTTTCCACAAAATGATTTGATAAATACCATCGGTCAATTGATCCTGTCTGGCTTTGCTGTATTGGTGTACCTTAACGAAATAGAAAATGCAAAACCAATCCATCCACAGAAAATGCAAAATGCTAAAATATTCCACATACAATTTCAACCCTATTGCAATAATCACCTTATATATATCTTACTTATCTCATTGCAGTAACAGGATAATTGTCCGAACAGGTTCACTCTCTTTCCTTCTCTCAGTTCTATTTTTCGTTAACTGCATTTACTTATTTTTTACATACAGGTATGGGTTCATGTGTAGTTTCGTCCCTTTGAACAGTGCAATTACTAAAATATTTTGCATATTTTTATTTATTTATTTATTTATTTATTTTTTAGTTTGACCGAGAAGCACGTTTTTTATTTATTTGAAATTCGAAGCAAAAACTATAGCTCAAATGAAACAATGCAGCAAGATGCATCATTCCTTAAACAGTTTTACCTGAGCGTTCCTTGTATCGAACTGTTCCTCAACCAATACAGTGTTTCTTTGCTGTAAGGCGTAGCTCAGAATCAGTAGCAGTACGATTATACTTACTACAAATCCTACTAACCGGTTTGTTCTTAATCTTTGTGTCATCTTCAAATGTCGTGTCACTGGAAATAATAAATAGTCACAACCTATATATAAAATTATAATTAGTAGCAGGCTTTCACATACATGTGCTACTGCGTTCCACTGCGTTCCGTTATTATGAATATTTCACTGCGTTCCTTGTGAAATATTCATAATAACGGAACGCAGTGGTTTTTTTAACAGAAAGAAACTGTGCTGAGGATGGAACGGCCTTCTTTGAGCTCTGACACCACGCTATGGAGCACCTGATTCGTGATCTAGGGTAAGAGACGTAGAAAATATTCACCACTTATTAATATGGACCAATACCGCAAAACTTATTAGGGAAATGGGGCAATATTCAACAAAGCAGAATTTTTTACCTCGTTGAAGGCATGTTGCGCCCCCTACAGTAGATAATTGCGGTACGTGGAAGACACAAGCGCTCGTAGACACATGTCCCTTAAAGGGATAATAACTCTTCGATGAGATCTATATTTCACATTAAAAACATTGTAAACAATGCACAGAAATATATTATATTCTGTTTTACCACAAAAACGGCAGTTATAGCTATTATTCTGATATCTGAGTTTGTCATCAGACCACGTGACCTCCATAGATGGCTTTGCTCTGTAATAAACTCTTAAGAGATTATAACATAAAACCAAACTTTTTAGAAAAATAAAAACAGGGACTAACTTTAAATGTAGAAATGGGTTTATTTACCATTGGTAAGTATGGGAAAATTGTTGTTTACTCTTGGAAAATTCATTTTTTGTCAAAACGAACAGTTATCATCCCTTTAATATGACTGCTATTATGACTGAGTATTTCTGGAGAAGAGATGAAGCTGACAACAGCTTGAGAGAAGTATACATAAATAATCCTTTCCGAAACTTCGAGGGCCTTCAATTAAATTACGGCACTGAATAAAAAATATAAGTGCACAGATGCATGCGGGTGTCTAAGGCTGTGTTCAGAATAGAAGTTATCGTACTAGCAGGATCGATCTACAATATCTCGTCGGGGATTCCCGGTTAAAGGCGCAGTCAGTATAATCAGCCTAATTGTTTGACACGCCCCTTCGCAAAGCAACACGAACAACATCATGGACCACGAAGTTTTCCCGACTTAAACAAAGTACAGCTTAAAAGATATGATGGGCGTGTCAGACAATTCAGCTGAAGTCGTCTGAAGCTTTTTTTACAGACTAACATGCATGTGGAGGAAAGTAACGTAACTTCTATCAGACCTTGAATTCGTAGATAGGCCTATAAAACCGTTTTGTGCTTATTATATATTGAAAATAACTATTCACGTGTATACTGTGTGGCGCGAAATGGTGGAATGCTGTATGATAGCATAATCAGTAGGGCACATACTCTGATAATAAACCACAATTTATACAAATAGCGATACTACTGCAACAAACACGGTCTGCAGCTATGAGGAGATACTTCCACTTTAATAACCTCAATTCAAACGAGTAAAATTACATTACACCATTCAACCTGCTTTAAAGATAAACACAGATTCAAGATGTTATATAAAACAAATTATGGGACAAACACGAGCCGATTTATTATTTCCAATCTATTTAAACCGTTTTACGGACTTTAATGTCTTCATTATAGCGTACATGTACTTAAATAACAATTCAGAAATTAAGACATATTCAAAAACATCTCCTTCTGTACCCCTGGGTTAGGTAGACCCACTTATTCGTCCATTACTTGATTATTATTAAATTATTTTTATCAGAGCGTCTTTTTCAAGACTAAGACACCATGCATTCCAACTGGCTTGCGTTCAAGTATCTCATAATTTGCAGTGATCTGTTCAATCCGAGCTTCTCCATATATACGATGTGCGTTAAATACCAAAGAGCCCACCGGAGTGCCAAAATTGACTGGTATACCCAGATAAAACAACGCACCAGGCTTAAGCATGCACCATATTTGAGCTGCTGCCTCCAGGTCACCGTGTGGATTGATGGGGTCTCCATAGCGACCAAGGCCAGAGTGTTCCAAAGAAGAAAACGAAGCAGCAAAATCCATTAGGAGCGATTGGTTCTTGGTGATTTTATCCGCTAAATCTGACATCAACTCGAAAGACAGCTGTGGGTGGTCGAAGAAAACAGCGTTGTAATCAACAGTTGTCACGTGTTTCACGCCAAGATTTAATAGCATGACTTCCAGCCAAGGACTTTGACTTCCTATGACAATCCCTGTCTTTTCTTTTAATTGATCTTTGTATCTGTAGAGAACCTGTTTGAAGCCATTGCTCTCTGCTCCATATGAACCAATGTTTTTATCTTTATCATTAGTTAGAAGAGTTTTGATTTGTTTTGGAGTAAATGTTACCTTTGGACCCTGACGTGAGCCATCAAAGTACATAGAACTCAAATTCATACTGCCATTCTGTGTGAAATCCAAAAGCAGCTCTGGAGGCGGCTTCTTCAGGGGCGGCTTGAAAACTTTCCCGGGCGGATTCTTCAATCTGAGAAACATATCCTTACAGTTAAAGTCTTTTCTCAAGAAAGGGTCTTCTTTTCTCTTGTGCATGGAAAAATTGCAAATTTGTCCACAGGGTGGGAAGGAATGCACTCTGTCTATATCCTCCCCGGCGTGAGCCATCTTTGTAAGTGCTGAAAACGGGAGCAAAACGTATGTAACTTCATGTTAATTACATCTTCTTCCTGTTGAGAACTAATGCATCTGCCTGGTAATGTACTCTATATATTTCGAGTCGGCAATGTCACTGTACTGATTTTATTTATTATTATTTTATTTATTTATCTATTTTTCTTGTGAACTCTTCTAGGATGTTATTTAGATTTTTTTTCTGTGCTTTGAAAAAGTTGATTTTATGGAACGAACGTCTTCTGCTCCCCCTTTTAAATCATCAACAGAATGCAGTTTTATGCTTATGTGATGGTGATTCAATTTTGTCACAAAATCATTTGAAAATTACCATCGGTCAATCGATCCTGTCTGGCTCTGTTGTATTGGTGTACCTGAACGAAATAGAAAATGCAAAATTATTCCATCCAAAGAAAATGCAAAAAGCAAAATTATTCCACATACAGGTTCAACCCTATTCCAATGATCACCGATACTTATCCTAATGCAGCAACAGGATAACTGTCTGAGCAATCCTTGAAATGTCACTGTATTTCTTTCTCTCAGTTCTATTTTTCGTTAACTGTATTTACTTATTTTTACGTACAGGTATGTCTTCATGTGTTGTTTCGTCCCTTTGAAAAGGGCAATTACTAAATTTGCATATTTGTTATTTATTTTTTTAGCTAGATCGAGAAGCGTGTTTTTATTTATTTGAAATGTGAAGCAAAAGCTATAGCTCAAATGAAATATGGCAGCAAGATGCATCATTCCTTAAACAGTTTTACCTGAACGTTCCTTGTATCGAACTGTTCCTCAACCAATACAGTGTTTCTTTGCTGTAAGGCGTAGCTCACAATCAGTAGCAGTACGATTATACTTACTACAAATCCGACTAACTGGTTTGTTCTTAACTTTTGTGTCATCTTCAAATGTCGTGTCACTGGAAATAATAAATAGTCACAACCTATATATAAAATTATAATTAGTAGCAGGCTGTCACGTTCATGTACTACGGAATAGTCCGAACATTGTTCTAAAAGCTTAGACACAGGCGCGTTCCCAATGAAAATATCGTTCTTCTTAGATCGTTCCAACTCCTCATGGACTCTCGTTGAATGCAATAAGATTAACTGAATGATAATCATCCTCGAACGGGGGTTAATTTCGTGTGGCCTCGGCTTCCAGAAGAATTTTTCACCTTGTTTTGAGTGCGACCGAACACACACGAAAGTCAGTTACCCCAAGCTGCTGTATTTTTAGATACAAATTTTATTTGTAATTGTAACAAGCATAATTTCTTTTTTATTTTAAATAACCCCAGCCTAGCACGTATTGTTGTTTCCCTTGCTCAGGTAACGCTGTCTATTTTTTTATCACTGAACAACAACTAAGGCATTCTTGCTGTGAACTTCGCATCCTTCACACCATAAATTGTAAGCATTACATATGCATCAATGGAATAATTTACTTCCATTATTTAACGTAAAAATGTAAGCCGTGATTAAAGAATACTTATTTGGAGTTTAATAAATTGACACCACTCGCCCGGGCAGCAATGCATTAATATTAACATGACTATAAAACGATGTTATTTACAGTACTAGACATCGCTCTGTGGTCCCAATCTATAACCAACCCATCGAATACTCAGGAAACAATAGGAGTTCAAAGTAAGATAGTTACAGTTACTGGCCCAGCTTTTTGCAACATTTTTCAATCAAAACAGATAAGGATACCAAAATTGATTTATAAATAATATGATATGATTCTCTTTGGGTGGTGTTTGGGGGGAGGGGGTGCGGGGCGGGGCGGGGCGGGGCGGGGCGGGTGAACCCTAAGTATACTACTTTTATTTTTACCCTAAGTACCGTACATTAAGTGGCATTTTAATTTTTATCTCAGGTAAAGTCAAGGAGTGCACTGAAAATAAGGTGACATACTATTAACCACATATCTTGGCTTTGGTTGTGTCACATGCGCCCATAAAGTGTGGTCAAGGTGCTAGGCGCATGGATGTCCCGCTTTAAATGATATTTAGTGAGTCTTTCAACGATGTATACAAAAATCGGGGCATTCAGTACAATACAAGTACAATACAATACAAATAAATAAATAAATAAATACAGTACAAGTTCAATACACGTGCCGTGTTTTATGTGCATATTTGAGACTAAAATAAGGCAATAAATGTAGTTACTCCTTGCTCGTATTATTTTGAGTGTCTTAATTTACATTCCAAGTAGCCGACATGCCAAGACTCGCCTACCCTATTACCACTCGGTATTTTTGTTGATACCCATTGGGTCGTAGAGGATGCCTACCCATCAGCTGTCATTAATTGTAAACGATAACATCTGAGATACATTTGCTTAAAACTCACCTAAGCTAGCCAGATTGTAACAGCAAGTTCAGTTTTCTCGCCTCAACAGAATAATGCATGTAACCAAACTGCTTAGACTATGGGGGTCACATTGTGTAGATATAATTCTTGCTATTATTCAAATTCATGTGCAGTAGCTACGTTACTTCACTGCGCACGGAAACATTCAATTCCCAAGACACTTTGATTTAAATAGTCTTGTAATGATAATGGTGAAAATATGTTTAATTTAGGTTTGTTTATTTTTATTAACATATGCAGTGTATATTCCTAAGCAACCATCATCATGGAGTTCACTGGTATTATTTTAATTAAAAAAACAACAAATATTAAAAAACAAATGTGACTATGATGCAGACCTTCATGTAATAAGCCACACATCCTTTAATACCCACCTCATTTCAACTACCATCAAACAAATTATGAAAACCAAAAGTAGAAATTGCCTGGAAATGGTGCATCATTATTACACGATCACCCACAGTACGTACAAATAACGCTACCAGCGCAAAATACAGTGTTCCCCCCTAGGAGTAAATAATTTCATTCCAATAAGCTACACTCAAACAAAGGAAATTGCAATCACTGTGCATCCTGCTATGAAAAAAATATATACACACACTGGACAAAAGAAATGTCACCCCTACTGAGCCAATACTATGGGGGAGATAAATGACTGTGGAATGATATTCTCCTGGTATCATTTTATTAACATCAAATTTCACAAAAAATCACAAAATGAGAACAAAATATACATTCTACCAAAATATGTAGTTTCAAGTCCAAAATTAGTACTTAGTGGCATAGCCACGTGACCTAATAATAGGTGCCAGTCTACGAAGCAAGGATTCATTTAATTGTCTGATGCGTTCAGGGCTTAGCTGGCCCAAGCATGAAACACTGAATATAACAGAGTTTCTCTGCTGGTTAGACGGGCATTTGTAAAAAGTTTTGACATATCATTCC